TAAGAACTGTTCTGCACAACTCAAAATTCGATTCCGAACTCCGGTGAGTGGCCAATTCGTAGCCTCCGGCCCCTCAGCGATGGGTCTACAAGCGCCCTTTGCCATCACCGCCAAAGTCGCCGAAAAAACAGATCTGCAAAGAAGCAATACGCTGACCAACCTACCGCGTGTGCCGCCGCCCAATCGGACAGCGTGTCAAAATGCCTTTTGCCCATTAATGAACACTTGACATGAGCGATTTTTCTTATGAACCAACTGGTGTTAATGGCAGTGGCCAAGAAACGCTTTTACCGTTGGCTTCTTTTTGTAGCTGTCTGCGGGGGCATCGGGATTACTAGGTGATAATACAATTCTGATCTTGTTTAAAAGCTACTGGGGTTCATGGTCACCCTTCACAAAGACCGCCATCTCGACCCACCTACTTTAAACCCAGTGACAGCCACAGCTATTTACTCTACTCTTCGTCCAACCCTAAATCCTGTAATGACTCAATTCCCTTTTCTCAACTACCTTGTCTTCGTCGACTTTGCCAATCTTATGATGACTTTTGGGACAAGGCACTTGAGATGATTGACTATTTCCGGAGGTAGGTCCTATCAGGAGACAGTCCTTTCATCAGCCATTCAACGGGTTAAAAATAGCACTGATGCGTTAAGGTCTCGCCCGAGTGACAGGACTAAACTTTTTCGCACATATTATCCTCACAGTCTCATAGCCAAACAAGTTTTAGTTAGAAACAGTGCCATTCTCCTCACCAACATTTTTTTTTAGACCAACCTGTCACTGTTTTCAGAAATGGTAAATGGGGGGGGGGGGAGACTGCAATCAGGTTATAAAAAACGGAAATGAGTAAAACAAAGTATGGGAAAACCTGAAATAACATTGTTGAAATAATAGGATACAGTTTATTTCTGTTTTCTTCAATAGTTCGTTTTACTGAATTATCTATCTGACAAATAATATCCTTAGTTGGATCTCTAATGGTTGACGCGAAGTGTTCAGCATCTTGTTGAGACCCACGATGCCATGCTGAGCTGATATGGTTTCTGGCCCATTCATTAAAATCTTTGTACTTTGTACAAGGAGTAGTAATGAAGGCACCTTGAATTCCTCTTTGAGCTGGTTGCGGAAATGAAACACAAAAAATGCAAAAAGCCCCTTTTAACCTAGGTGAATATGATAACCATGGAGTATACTGGGTCAGCCGAGCCTCCATGAAACAACGTTTTCCACTTCCAGGTGTGCCGCCTTCAAAATCATATGACGGGTGAGGCTTGTATGGTTCAGTTAGCAAACGATACTTAAAATCGATAAGAATCTTCGTAGTAGATTTTACATAGAGTCCAATGTCCTAGGTTAACCTAGTCTCTCCACTTTCAAGCTTGTCAGAGGCTGTTTTTTTCTAATACTTTCTTTACTGCTAACACAAAGTGATAGAAAATAAAAGTAACATTATTTGACTATTTTCCAATGTAAACATCCACATTTTGACAAGTTTACACTGTTTCCATGGATAACGGTAGACTACTCTTAAACAATGAACTAACGTCTTTTAACATATTCGCCTTAAGAAATATACATAATAAAAATGCTTATTTTCAAAACAGCTTTTGGCTCACAACATAAAGTGATACATAAAATAATTAATATAGAAAATATTAAAAATAATTATCCAGTAAAAAAAGATTAGCATCAGCTTAGTTACTTTCTCTTTATTTTCTCTTTACTTTAATAATTTTGTTGTCTATTTTTGTATAAAAAATATTTTAATTAATCAATCCAGGGGGGAGGGGCAAGTGCCCCCCTTGCCCCCTCCCCCCGCGGGGCCCATGCATCTGTCTAAGAGGCCCCACCCAGTCTCATCTAGATACTTCATCTGGCAGCGGGTACAAACAATACCGTAGACAACCTTGTGGTATAGTTAAAGGAAACCTGTCCCTTATCCGAAAACTACCCCAGGGAAGGGAATGTGTCGAGTCTGGATGACAAAAGGGCAAGTTTTGCAACGGCTGCATCCACGTGGCTTGGTCCCCAAGTGGGAGGAAACAGTGCGGATCTGAGTACGCATAAGGAGATCTAGCAGTTTCTCTTCTTTCTAAAAATTACTTTGCTGCCCACTCGGATACCACTTTTCAGTTAAGTGCTATTTTTTAATTGAATTCTGTTTCTTCTGTTGTTTGTTCGCTGCCGAAGACTTCCTGCCAACACTTTCGTTGAACAAGCTCTGCGAGAAGACATTGTAAAAGCTGCCAACAATGCTGTTGGATTCTCGATCATAGCCGATGAAGCAGCAGATAACTCAGGAACCGAACAGTTGTCACTGGGAGTCCGGTTTGTAGATACGTCTAGTGAGAAGGCTATGATTCGTGAGGAATTCCTTGGATTTTCTCCGCTGTGAGATATGGACGCCGCCACGATATCTGATTGTATTATTCAACATTGCAAAACATTTGGTCTCCTCCTTAATAATCTGCTGGATCAAGGTTATGATGGGTGCTCGACAATGGCCGGAAAAGAAAATGTTTTTCAGGCAAAAATTCGAAGTATTTATCCCAAGGCTGCCTTTGTTCACTGTGCCTCGCATAGACTGAATCTCGTAGTAAATGATCTTAATAATGTTGCAGTGATACGAAATACTATTGGTACTATCAAAGCAATTATTACATTTTTTCGTGAAAGCCCGACAAGGAGGTCCTCTGTCCCAAATACTCCTCTTCTGTGTGAGACAAGATGGACAAGCAAGTATAAAGGTATTCGGATTTTGTCTAGTAAATTTGAAGATATTTATTGTCAACTGGAAGAATTGTCATTGCATGCAAGTAGAAATACACGACAGGCTGCACATCAGTTAAATTGTTCATCAAAGTCCAGCACGTTTTTATTTTGTCTCAATATTATCTCGCGGTACTCTGCCATACTGGAACCAGTTACTCAGGCTCTTTAAGCTGTTAAAGGTGATCTTCCAGAAGTCCAACTGCAAGTTCAAAACCTGCTCAGTGTAGTAAAACTTCACCGGGGTGATTCCGATAACTATTTCAGGGATATTTTTGAGAAAACAGTACAATTCGCACTGAAGGTGGATATTGAACTGATTATCCCAAGACAGTGTGGAAGACAAAAGCATCGAAGTAATCCGGGAAACATAAGTGTTGAGGAGTACTTCAGACAAACAGTTTACATTCCATACTTAAATTCTCTAATTAGCTCAATGTAGAGTCAATTTTGTGAAGCCAACAGTGCACAATTTAACTTAGCGTTGCTACATCCTTCGAAATTGTGCAAACTGAATCGTCAACAGTTTTAGGATACAATGTCTACTATTACTCAGGTATACCAAAGTGATAATTTTGAAACTGAAGCCTTGAGTTGGTTTGATTTTTGGAAAACGCAAGATTACAAAAGTAGCCAAGATTTCATCGACTTGTTACCTTTTACAAAGTTTTATCTGGCTGTCAGGTATGCCTTACTAGTTTTGCTAACATTACCAGCAACAACATGTACGGTAGAGCGATCATTCAGCACATTACGTCGTGTAAAAACATGGCTTAGATCTACAATGTCAGATGAACGTCTGTCTGGGTTGTGCATGTTAAGCGTACACAGAGACAAAGGGAACTGCAACAAAAAAGACTTTATGGACACAATTGTAGATATGTTTGGTAGCGATAACAGACGACTCCAGTTCTTGTTTAAAGAATAAATTTTATTTTCAATTTATGTTGTAATATTTTTTTGCTATATACATATTATTTATATTGTGTTGATAAAAAATTTGTTGCTACAGCATGCCCTTCATTACTACATTGTCCCGTCCGTTCGTTCACCATACAAATACGCTACAGTAAATTAAAACTACATTAAAACATTACTAAAAAATTTGCCCCCCCCCCCCAGAAAAATTTCTGCGGGCACCCATGGACAGATGTACAGATCACCTTCAAAATATTGCGCAAGATCAGCACTGTCCCATCTCAAAACCCTTCAGTAGAGGTGACCACAACGGTTCCGGGGATTCGGTTATCATCGCCAGTGTGGCTTGTGCCAACACGCCCACCAGGATGACCTTTGGAGAACAAACTTCAGACGTAGGTGACCTTGACACCACATTAAATGAATGTCATGTTTTCCTCTTCTTGATAAACTGTTCCTCCATCTCCTCCTAGATACAAAAGATCGCCGTGAAATTACTTTTCCACCCTTATTGCCTGTATTAACCCCTAACATACTAATGTTATAGTACATTCCTCTTGCTGTTCGCTCGGATACTACATTGCAGATTAGGTTTTAATTTTATTTTAACATTTTGTATACTGTTGTTTTTTTTTTTTTTTTTTTTTTTTTTTTTTTTTTTTTTTTTTTTTTTTTTTTTTTTTTTTTTTATTTTTTTTTTATATGTTTTTTTTTTTTACCCCCCAGGTCTTCCCATACCTTGTTTCTTTAGACACACGTTTATTCTAATAGTAGCCTATACGATACAATTTTCAGTGAAAGAAACCCGACTTGTACACTCATCTAATGTTGTTGTTTTTTAATTAAGGCATTGGGGTTTTAAAAACCGGATTTTATAAGCTAATAATATATTTTTAAAAATCCCATGTAAACTAATTTAAAAGCCCTAAGCTTATTGCATTGGTACCGGTATTCAATAGAGACTATGAAAAGATCATAAAAAATGAAGGGTCTGCTCTAGGCGGCACTTATTGTGGGGCGGCATTTTGGATCAACTTTATATACTATTCCATATTCATAATGGGGGCACATTTTTTTCCTTAATGTAAGGCTTTTAATTATTATTCAGCCTACAATCGTGATGTTGAAAAAAAAAAGGTTAACGTTTCCAAAATAGCCCCAAATTAATGGCTTGGCTTATAATCAGGCCGCCATTTAAAAATCGTATATATTATTTCCTTACTAACTTCATTGAATACGATCAAAAGTACCATTCATGAACTTTTCGTTTTGATTTCGGATCTCGGTATCACGGATGACCATGTTTGTTATTTATCTATTTTAAAATTCGGGTTATAATAAGTCTTTAGGCTACATACTACATGGTAAGAAATTTTATTTTTATTTTCAAATAATTACTTGAGCGCCATTGCCATTTATTTTATTATTGGTTCTTCCTTTGTTTACTTGTCTTGTTTTTCATCTAAGTAGTAACAAAGTACATGGAATAATATATTTTTAATTTGGCTAGGCCTATTTTATAATATTTAATATACCCGGTAGTATTACTTAGTCACCGGTATATAATCAAATAATAATACATAATATATTTTTAAAGTTAGCACTCTAGTCAAGGCGGAGCTTCAGAGTCTCAGAGTAGAGTCATTACTATTACTATTAGTACTAATACTATCACTCAACAAAGTGCCCAAACTGAACTACTCTTTAAAAACTCATTATAAAAGATGTTGGACTGCGATAATGATAAAGCTTTAAAATAGATTAATTAGTTTTAGTTTTAGACACGAACAATTTGTGCACTCAGAGTTTTGGGAGCAAGCAATATTACCAATCAATTATCAACCCTAGAATTTAGACTTGAGGATCATAAGGGCAATATTACTACACTGATTCATCATGCCTAGAGATTAGACTCATAAGACTAATACTAATACTAATGAGTAATGAGTGGTCAACCCTTTTACTAGGATATAACTAGTAAAACTTGATTCATTGTAAGTTGATATTAAGTCTAAGTTAGGGCTATAGACTATAGTCAAGCTAATTTTAACCAAAAAATCATATTGCAGCATTTTGCTTCGCCCTAACCCTTATCAACAGACAATATGAATATGAAATATTCTACTTCAGAACCAAAAATCTTGTCAATCAGTCATTGTTAGCTGCAGAAGTGGATGGTGATATATATGAGATCTGCTGTACGCCCTGATTCAATATAAATATTTAAAATTACTGAATGAATAGGACTATTCCACTTCCAGCATTCACTCTTCAATTTCAATACTTTCATTTAAATTAGTAGGTCCGAAATTTGGCAAAATACAGTACAGTGCGATGTCTTTAAGAATGGCCCCTTAGTATTAGTAGACTAACTTAGAAAATTTTTTAATATTATAATCTAAGTGAAATTCTGTGAACTTTTTAATATTATAATCTAAGTGATGTCCTGTGAGCTTGGTTAATTTATGAAAACCACAAATGAAAATCATAACCCATAACTTATGATAACTGAGTTATTAATGCTAATACATTTTTATACTGTGATCTCAGATTTTTAAGTAAAATTAATCTTAAGGCTTTAGCCTGATTAATTATTCCTAAAACTTAATAGCTATTTATTAATTATAAACTAGTTATTTTTATTCTAAATGTTCTGGAGGATCTTTTTATTGTTTCTCATATTTTCATGTCAACTCTCCACCACACCATTTCACCCATAACTGTGCAAAATTCTTCTAATATTCTTACTGAAACTTTGCCATATTTGGAAGAATATTTGAACAAAACAAGTAAAATGTTAATACAGAATGCCCCAAAAGTTACAGTACTGAAACTCCTGCTTCTTGAACATGTAAATGCTGGTGCATAGATCCAGCTATCAGGCTATCACATGTTCCTTGAGGTGTCAAGGAAGTTGTGTTGGGCAGTTTTTGTGTGAAATAGGTCTCTTGTATTCATATTTGACCATTATTTTTGCTCGTACAGAAGGAATTAAGTGATTGTGATGGGGGACCATGTTTGAAGAAAGGTGGCAGAACGGTTCAAAAAGAGATTGAACAAGACAGCTCCAGGTAACACTGTTATGGTGTCTATTGTTTTGAAATTTTGCCGCTATGTAAGTTTCGAGAACCATGTTACTTGGTGCCATCTATTTTTTTGTCTTGCAAATTTTTCAAACACGGTCACCATTTACTTTCACTAATCTATGGCAAAAATATTGCTCTACTATGAATACTTTTTGCCCCCATGGAGATACACATTTCCAAGTATCCATCATATAATTATTTTCACTTCTATGACATGAGGCAGCTGGAGCACTTTGCACATTTGACAAATGCAAAAATTGCGTTTAAGATGCAGAGTTTTCAGTAATGCGCATTTTTGGCGCATGCTGTATTTATTGATTTAATTTTTTCAGAGTCACTATGTCAAGTCATGTAAAAGAGGTCCTGCACGCACAGCTTATCAGCAAAGCTGTGCTTCGACCTGATGAAGCTGAACTATTTGAGCTGACTCAGCATGCTGGCACCATCATGGATCCGCAAGTTTTTAAGTCGGTTTCTTTGTCTCAACATATTTTACCAACTTAAAGCGAAAGAAAAGTCTGGTAGTTTAAATAAGCTATAGTAAAGAAAGCTGCAAACTCTAGTTGGTGGAGTGTGGTATTGTGGGCTAGGTTTAAAATGTTGTATTATTTGCTACAGGAATCAAATCATACCTTCAAAACTTGATTCAATAATGAAAGAAACGTGATGGAATATTTTTAATGAATTTCAAAAGAGTCACCTTATTACTTTTTTTTAATGGTACGAACTTTTCTCTGACTGTTTATGTTACAGTTCACTAGATTTTACTTATGACATTCATCATACTGGTATTATGTAATTTCTATTCAACTTCTGTGTACAATTTAGGCGATAACATTGATAGTTTGATAGGCAGTAATTTCGTATTCTTTTGTATTCATTTCAGTTTCACTGACTGAAATGAAAACATAATTTTAAAAAATTAGTGCTTTGCATTTATCTAAAATACCTTGAGTCTTTTTTTAAAATTACCTTTCTTTAATTTAAACTTAAAGATTTATTGATATATTTGTCCTCTTAACCCTCGAACTGTGGTCGGCCGACGAATTCGGTCGATAAAAAACACGGTCTCATAGCAACTTCCAATCCAATATTTAACCGAAATCATAGCCACTTCCTTTTATTAATAATTAAATCAACTTCCGGGTCAAGCTGTTTCTTGATAACTTAACAATAAGTACTTTTTAATTGGAATTTTATATCACTGTTTTTTTTAAAGCAAAAATGACAGAAGCTATGGCCGGGCCTTCAGTGCGAGAACTAATATAAATATTTTAGAAAGCTTTTTAGGACAGGATTTAAGAGATACTGATGATGATTTTAACATTCCCCATGACATCTCACTTCAGATTCTTCTTTTCGTGAATCTGATACTAGTCTTAGTGAAGCTGAAGAGGCCCACTGAGGCTACTGTTTGACTTCGAGCCAGGCCCGGAGGTTGGGCAAGGACTGACTGTATTTGAGTCACAGAAGCTACAAATTATAGACCAGAACTAATAAATTTTATAGTTTAACAACCCAAATCAGTTCCACAGTTCCTTTTTAAATGTTCACTAGTCAATAATAACTATTTTGCCTGAGATTTTGTATTTTGTACTTGGTTTTAGCAGTGGTCCCAGTTTCTTATATAAATGACCTAAAATTACTAAAATTGCTTTCAGATGTTTAATTGCAATCAAAACCTTAGCAAACTATACATTTTCTGATAGAAAAATGAATTGGCTACAACATTAAGATTTGTGTTTTAAGTGTATCTATAAAAATTAAAGATGTTATGAGCACTTGAAAGCAAGACATTTTGTCAATTTTTATTTTCTTCAAGGACACTGAGAGACCATTTTTACGGGGTATGCAATATGGCCAACTTTATCCCATCCATTTACCTTTCTAAAAATATATAATTTTTGGGGTCTTGCATCAATATTTCTATGTCATTTAATGCAATTTCAAAAAACACTCAAAAAGCTCTGAAAAGTTCCACACCACAGAATGATGCATGCCACAGTTCCAGGGTTAAATAATGTGCATTAGTTTGTGTGGAATAATTATTTAAATTTTTCTAAAGATCATGTTTTCATACCTTTAGGAATTTAGTCTTAATTCCTTTTTATCACTAGATGTGAAGCACAAGTCTGTGTTATATTATAGCAACATTCTAAACTATATTACTATAATACCTATTAAAAAAATATTTTTTGTTTCTACATTCTCAAAATGAATTTAATTACCATACTAAAATTAAATCCAGTACAATGGAAATCCATAGAATAAAATTAATTGATTTTCAGTGATCAATGACATTTTTCTTTTTCTTAACAGGATTATTTTAGACTTGCTAAAGTTGAATGTGTCACCACTTGCAATAGTTGAAACGTTGAAGTCCATGTGCTCTTCACATCACTCGCTGTCTGCTTCATCCTCATCCGCCTCCATGCTGGCTAGTGGTGGTGAACCTCATGCTTTAAGAGCCCATGGAAAAGTTCCTTCTGGCAGGGTCTCTCATGATAATGGCTCCCAGAATTACAGTTCCTACTCTGCTTTAGGGGACCGGCCATTAAGAAGCGGAAGCTGGGATCGTCAAAATAAGAACACTAGCAATTATCATCAGTCTCAAAATAGCACTGATTCCCAGAATGGCAGCAGTTACTCTTCCTTTTCTACCTCACTCGGAGTCGGGGTGGACAGTTATCAAACCCGATCCAATGACAGGCATAGTCAAGTCTCATCCAAACAAAGATCAGCAGATAACAAACTGCAGAAAGATGGAGCCAATAAAAAAAGATAATTTTTTTTTATACTGATTTTGAAGTTGAATTAACATCAGAATCAGAGTGTAAATTGTTATAAAAAAATATTGGTGTTACTGTGGAAGTGTGAAACAAATAAATACTAACATTAAAAGATATTGTGAACTTAGTTGTTTTAGTTAAGGTGGAAGATAAATCTTGAAGTGAAATGACCAGTCAGGTGCATCCGACTTTCAAAAGGCATTGGGCCATATTTTAAGTTTAATTATTCTTAAGCATTGTTTTTTTCATTATGTTTAAAACTTTTTAAAAAATCTTTAGAAATAAAAAAAAAAATTACGTTAGTGAATTACTGCATCCAATTTTACATTAGATGGAGTACATCATAGAATCCATCTTATTTTGAAAAACCCAGTACTTTGTAGACAAATGACCCAAATACCCTACATGTGATGTAAAAAATGTTCCTATATAAAAACATTGTGACACAGCTGTGAACTTACTGTGACAGATCAATCATTCAATGTGTTGGGACACACCAGCTCAAAACCATAAACTTAATTAATGTCATGTTCAAACAGGTTTTTACCAAGTGTTTGCAATGTTAACGACATGATGTGATACCTAATGTCAACTGTAGTCAGGTCTCTGTTCACTATCCTAAGATGTTTTTAAACCAGGGGTCCTTAACCTTTTTGCAGTGCTGCACCCATTCTTTATGTCAAAACATTTCTCGCACCCTCTTTTTTTATCCCCTAGATAAAGTATTGTAATAAAATAAATATGAAAATAATTCAGCTGTGGTTGTTTCCTACAAAGTTCAACCTTAAAAACATCTGCCACTGCAAAATAAAAAACATGCAACTAAACCTGATTTTCTATGTCTTCCCATACGAACTGGCTTTATCTCCCGCACCCCTGGTTAAGATGCCATTTTTAAACAATTCAAGAATATTTTTGAAAAGAAAAACATTGTTACATCTGATCTTTGAATAAGGCATTATTTTATAATTATAATTGATTTGTTAAAATTTAAATAATTACACTAAGAAGCAATGAATTCATTTACAAAAAAAATATTTATTTCATAAAAAATTTACATGTCTTAAAGCACATCAGTATCACAGATCTACTTATTTCTCTCAGTACAAGTTTTGATTTTTCCAACTTCTTAATAGATATTGTTTGTAAATTAATATATACATGTTATTATAACACTTTTAGAATCTTGCAATATGAAGAATAAATATCATTTGATTAAAATTTGTCAACATGGTACATGGCTTATGCTGATAATAATTAAAAAATGTATTCCTAACATGTTCAAAATAGTGATAATTTATTAATAGTTTAAATTTAGTAAACAAGCTGCAAGAATACTTTATTACTGACATGAAATATTTTATTCCATGTAATTTTCTGCACCTATTTTTGGACGGAGGTCAGATTTATGCATGAAAGCCATAAACAATGTGCTAAATTAACATAATTTTTGTTGTCTAAATTTTAATATTTTTTAAAAAATTTAAAAATATAAAGGTTCAATAAAACACAGTACAACTTATAAAACCCAAAACATATTTTCTTTAATATGTGGTTTTTAATTTTTTTTAAAATTGGGTATTATTTGTGTTCACATTGCTCCATGTCTGTCCATGTCTCTCTCTTTTTTCTTGAGTAAACAATCATTCCTCAAGCTCTCCTTTCTGAATGGGACGAACTTCACGCAGCAACTCCTGTGTGGCTGCCTCTCTAGCTGCCACCATCTTCATTCTTGCTCTCTTAAAAGCCTCTGTAAATTGTTATAATATAATAAAATATGTACAGTAAGCTGAGTAATACTAAAGTGTTTCAGGGTTTTTATTTGTTAAAGTTAGTGCATGTGTATGATTTTAAATGAGAAAAGTAGAAATTTATTATGTTAAGAATATTTTTAAAATGTTGGCTACAACAATTATAAGACTATTAAAGTTCAATGCTGTCATTCACCAGTAAAAAAAAAGTTGGGGTATTTTATATGGTAAAGTTAATGAGCACTCACCTAAAACACTTGTGATATTAGCCTGCATTGCTGTAATTCTGTGAAGTGACATGTTTTAATTTTATTTTTGCTTTCAATTTCAATTAACACAACTTCAATGGAACAAGACTAATTTAAACAAATAATTAAATTTATTATTTTTAAAAGTGTACAGAATCCTTAAATCACTGAACTTACCCTAAAGACTCTAGAAGTGAGCCTAATGACCTCTTGTTAGCCTTTGTCTCCATAAAAGCCCTGATATTTAAATGTAAGCAAACAAACATTTTACTTTTTATTTCTCCAGATTTTTTAGAAGAAATGAAGAAGAAGCTACAAATAGAAACTCATAACATACATAAATAGTACCGGTGAGGTAATAAAAAACCAACTAAATGCCATTTCAGGTTAGTTAACCAAAAGAAGATTATGAAATGGTATAATCTAGAGAATAAATGAGTTAGTTAACCAAAAGAAGATTATGAAATGGTACAATCTAGAGAATAAATGAGTTAGTTAACCCAATGAAGATTATGAAATGGTACAATCTATAGAATAAACATTTACACAATCACACCAACACCCTATATAACAAATACAACCTCAAACCACTGATAAAATAAAATTTAAACACCCCCCCCCCCCCCCTAATGTATAAAACTGCCCCCAAATGTATAAAACTGATTAAAATATGCAATAGCTGTATAATACTAATAACCAGAATTGCCACATATGTTTTTTTTGTTAACGACTCTTTCTTTAAAGTCATCCTGTTAATTTGAAAACTCGTGATCTTAACTGTGGATTGTAAATTTGCTGCAAATATTTTCAATAAGGGCTGTGGATTTCCTCTGAAGAAATTAACTTTGATCATACTGCAACATCAAATTAAGTCTTACTCTAACTGTGCCCGTTGATCATACATACCTGGACTGCAACATCACATTAAGTCTTACTGTAACTGTGCCCGTAGATTGAGTTCTAAAGCCAAATTTGCTAAGGTATGAACCCTGTAAAAATAAAATATCCTTATTAGAGGATATTTATTTTTTACAATTTTAATAATTTTATTTAGTTTAGTCAGAAAGTAATAAGATTTTTTTCTCGTTTCACATCAAATAAAAAAATTACAGTGTTTCTTAACAAAATATAATGCTATACACATTATATTTATATCAATGAGTTAAGTATTTTCTCTTTTACTGTCAATGGACCTACATCAAATGTAGATGGAATGGCAGCATATGTTGGATCCTCTATCTCGGGTGTGCCACCAATGAAAAACCTTCTCAGATTATCTACAACAGAGTTACCAACAGGACGCCAACAATGTGCCGTTTCCGTGTGAATACCTGAAACAGAAAACATATTGAAAAGTTTTGTTAAATTTGAATTTGTTTTTTTTAAAGCTACTATAAATAATGTATTTAATAAGTATCTCAGATGAAAATCTACTTGCTGCAATATGCATAGGGTAATCAGGCTATTTTTTTTGTTGAAACAATAGAGTGATGGTCTGAAGCTTTACTTCCCACACTTATCACAGTATCACCTGGTTTAGCTGGCAGCTGAAGGTAACTGTAGCCTTCATTGTAGTGCCTGGACCAGGAATCAAAAGCACCAACCTCCAGCATAAGTCTTGGAAATTGGGGCAACTCATCTGTGTGTGCAGGAAAATGCAAAAGAAAAAGATTCCCTCCCAATAAATAGGAATGAACTACTATTTTTAATATGTTCAATTTTAAAATATCATATACTTATTTTGGATGAGTGATAAGTGCTTTTTTTTTTTTGTAGCTAAGGACTCTATGGTGTTTCGCTCCATTGATTGACTTAACCAATATTTTCTTATTAAAAGTATATTTAAAGGTTAAGTTTTTATTATTTATAAATTTAATAAAAGTATATTTTTGGAATGGCAAAAACATAAAGGCTTATTAAATGTTAAAAATTTAAAATGGAATCAATTAAATTGATTAATTTTACTTTTAAGAAGGGGGAAATACATTATCATTTTTGTTACGCGGGGTTATTAAATTAAAGAAACTTAGAGCTTTGGCTAAAATAGGCAGTTCGCTCTATATCATTTGAGTGTTTATTTAAAACAAATTAATTTTAATTAGCAATATAAACCACGCACTAAAAAACACACTAAAACAACAGATGTTTGGGTTTTCCTGAAAATGTGATTACAATAATTCTCGGATCATATTTTTTTAATTAATTTTTTTTTCTCCATAACTTTCAAACAGGATAAAATACTTAAAATAGTTCTTTTATTGTTATTTAAATTTATTTGTAATTTATAATAATAATACTTAAATATTTACTCAAATAAAAGCAGATATATTTTCATTTTTGCGCAATTAAATTTATTCAATTTCTGTAAAATAATAAAAGATCACTATTATTGTTTTTAAGAATCCGAAAGTATTTAAATTGCTTCGTCTCTTAGGTGTTATGGTCAGCCTAGGACAGTCTTATATATATGATATTCTAAAATGTACCAAATTAAAAAAAATATACATGTACTTAAATATTTAATGGCTGGACACTATGCAATAATACAGATATTATAATGTGCTTATGACTTCTAACATTCACCCTTGGAAGATAGCTGATTCTTCTTATAGTTCAGTTCAAAATGGAATGGATAAGAGAAGTAAGCAATCTCAGTCTGTTGAGAAAATATTCAAAAAATTAATTAATACAGGATTATATGACATTATATGACATGACATTATATGATCCTCAAAAACATAGGCTGCCCTACACGACTGCTTAACATCATCAAGCAGTTCCACGAAAACATGCAGGGCACAGTGTGCTATAACGGTGCCGCCTCAGAAGCTTTTCCAGTGAGTAGTGGAGTAAAGCAAGGTTGCGTGCTGGCTCCTACTTTATTTGCAATCTTTTTCTCCATCCTACTCCAGTATGCCTTTCAGAACAACAGCGAGGGGATATACATCCACACTAGAGATGACGGCAAATTATTCAACATTGCCCGCCTTAGAGCTAAGACTAAAACAAGAAAGGTCTTGCTGCGGGAGTTCTTGTTTGCGGACGATGCCGCTTTGGTATCTCACACAGCTGACGGCCTGCAGAGCCTCGTATCCAGCCTATCCGCTGCCTGCAAAGAGTTTGGCCTGACAATTAGCCTAAAGAAAACTAACATTATGGCACAGGGCGCTGACTCCCTCCCCACTATTGCCATCGACGACTACGACTTGGATACTGTTGACAGATTCACATATCTGGGATCCAACATATCGAGCACCCTCTCAATGGAGGATGAGATAAGTGGGAGGATAGGGAAGGCCGCAACTGTTATGGCCAGACTGAAGAAAAGAGTCTGGTCAAACGCCAAACTCACAACAAGAACTAAGCTGCAGGTGTACCAGGCCTGCGTATGGAGCAGACTTCTGTATGGATGCGAGTCGTGGACCACATACTCTAAACACGAAAGAAGGCTCAATGGCTTCAACCTCAGATGCCTGCGTCACATCCTTGACATTAAATGGCAAGACAAAATCCCCAACACGGATGTCCTGTCCCAAACAAACATGTGTAGCGTCCCAGCCATGTTAATGGCTTGGATACGTCAAGCGAATCCAACCTGGTCGCATACCAAAGGACGTGCTATACAGCGAGCTGGCGACAGGGAAAAGGTCAGTTGGACAGCCTCGTCTGAGATACTTAGACATATGTAAAAGAGACATGAAGTCGGCCAACATCTACATCTCAAACTGGGAGGAGCTGGCAGAGGATCGATCCTAATGCCGGGGCATCGTGAAGGCAGGATTACTACATGCCGAGGATCAAAACAGGGCGGAAACAGCTGCAAAAGGAGCGAGGAGGAAGGCCGGTAAATACTGCTCCACCGCATTCGTGTGTGGGGAAATGTAACAGAGACTGCCATTCGAGGATTGGTCTCACCAGCCACACCAAGAGCTGCAAGCAATAAAGATAATCTATCGTCTCCCGCAGACGGAAAGATGCCATACATACAATACAATATGACATTTATTTTCATCTATACAAAAACTGCCAACTTATTTACATAAAATGACAATGTATCTTTTACTTGTATCCTTTACCCTTATTGTTCCCAAATCATTGTCTGCTAAAGACATTCAAATTGTGAAATGTGACAGACATTGAAATGATTACAAAGAATATGCCTATACTTTAACAGTAGGTAAGTCAAAAGGTTGGGGACCTCTGCCTAAATTGATTGGTTATCATAAATAGTATCAGGATCCATTTAGAGTTTCAATACCTGAGGTTCATTAAAAAAAGTCATAACCTTTAGATCACGGTTCCCAAACTCTTTGAACTTGGTACCATGTACTTTTATACTTGAACAATGTAATGTACCACAATTGGTACAATGGCCTCTGTTTAAGATTCTCTTTTAACAATGGTTAATCACTACGAAAAGTAAATAAAATTTATTATTTTACTAGGTTGTATTCATTTTTTATACAAATAAATTCTTAATAATTCATTTTATTACCTGGTCAACAGTTTTGGCGGCACATGTTTGAGTTATCCAAGACAACTGCTGGCTTCTCTCTGCTGTCCAGTCTAGAGACAAATTTTATTAAAAAAATCAAGCGAGAGTTCATTTTATAAAAAAAAACAATTCCTAATCATGATTAGTATATAATAGTAACTTGAGTAACAATAACAATAAAAAAAAACTAATTAAAAGCTGATTTTTGTTTATGGCCGCCTATTTTATTTTCTGTGTATCCTATTGGGATGCTCACCTTTTGGAAGGTCTGTGAACATGTGAATGTATAGGTTATCTTTTTCAAAGTCTTGAGCTGAGACTGTAGGCAAAAGCAAGAGGGAGAAAATTACTTTCATAAATATAGAACAAGGTAATCTACCATCTTGTGTTAAGGTCGCACTTTTTTTTTTTACAATAATAATTTGAGAAAAATCAGGGGTCCGGCCTGTCTATTTGACATCAATCGAGCAAACTGTTATTCAGTGTGGAATAAGAATTTATATGGAAACTCTGAGAACTAACTGATTCTCTTTTGTTCTCACTCTTTAGCAGATGGCAATCAGTCTTTAAAAAAAAATGTTTATTAAAGATCAAATAGTTTTGATGATGGCTTTCAGTTTCCAATTTTGTTATGGAAACATTTTTGATACCTGATCAATAAGTATTAGTTGTATTTACTTTAAAAGAGGCCATGTAACCTCCCAAACTAAGGGTGTGACCTATATGTGGGTCAACTGCAAATACACACTTTGGCAACCTATCTAGGGTGCGACCTATGCGATGAAATATATGGTAATATATGGTATTAATGAAATAAGATGAATTTATAATAGTTAAATGTTTTTTTACAATATACATATTTGTTGTTTTGACTTACTTTAAAAGTCAGATCTAATACTTTTTATATTCTAAAATATATGCATATTATAACAATAGAGGCCAGTAATAGTAATTACAAATAAAAATAATATGTACAGTATAATTGTTCATTGCTTTGAAACATGCAGCTCATCATTGATCTTAAAATGATTATATCTGAGCTTTAAAAAAAATTATATCGACCAAAAAAGGATGAATAAAGGTGGAGAATATGAACAAACCAGGAATTGTATTGTCTATATCAGGATCCCACGCTAGTAGCAGAAATAAAAAAGGGTAGGCTAAGCTGGGCAGGACACTTAGAAAGAATGCCAAATGACAGAGGAGTGAAAAGGGTACATCAACAATACCCCAGAGGAAAAAGGCTAAGGCAGAATTAGGCTTAGATAGATGGATGATGTGGAAAAAGATCTACAGCAGCTGGGAATCCAAGCATGGAAAAGAAATGCATTAGTTTAGTTATTTCTGAGTTGAAGGAAGTGGTGAGGCAGGCCAAAGCCATACATGGGCTGTATCGCCACAAGGATGGATGGATGGATTTGTTAAAAAAAAATATTTTTTAATGAAATTTACATACCGATTTCTCCAAAAACTACATACTTCAAAGTATCTACTGGAGGCTGAAATTAAAAAACATAAATAAAGTAAAAAATAAGTAATTTTTTTGTTTTAAGACTTTAAAAAAAACAAAAAAAAACAATGTTTTGATCAACAGGAAAAAGCCTTTAAAGTGTATTATGTAATAAAACCATAACTTACCACTTCAAATTCATATCCAACACATGACTGCACAAAGTCATTATGTCTTGAATACATCTGTAAGAATTTTAAAATAGTTACAAGCCAGATAATAATATTTCACTAATGCACAGACATTAATATATAAAGTGCCACTATGTCAATCTAATGATAATTAAAAATAATTTTTATGAAGACTATTATGCATATCATGAAATGATCTATAAGTTGTGATCAATTTTAATTATAATTACTTATATTACCTCTCTGTACATTCTTAACTCTTTCTCTTGTTCTTGGCGACTCATATCTTTAGAAACATTCTCAATTGTATAGTCAAAACCCTCTAAGGAAGGAAATTTAAAATGAAAATAAATAAAAGCACACACAAGGCTGATTTGTATAAGGGCTAAGAAGCATTTATAAAATGTTTCATTAAATTTAAAAATAACCTATTTATTTTTATTTAGCATTATTCAAGTAATAAACCCAAAACACATCTCATGACTATAGAACTGATTTTTTAAATAAATTTTTAAAGACTTAACCTCTTGTCATATAAGTCTCAATGCTGTATGGTTTTCTTCCACACGAATAGTCAGGTTTGACACACAGAACACCATTAGCATCAACTTTCAGGGCACAAAGAACATACTCATCAGTCTCATCTGGAGTTCTAAACAGAAAGATAATGTGTAAAATGGCTATTGATGTGCCCATAATGTAAGATTATTCCCTTGGGCTTTGAAAATACTGAATTTAATATTTTAAAATTTAAAGATAGACTCTGTGCAATAATTTGTTAGCAAATTTTACAAAATTAATAATAATTATTTGTCTGTCCTTATTTATTATATAAATTTAATTTTGGTTTGAATGAATTCTAAGTTAACATACTTATTTACTTACTTGTTAGGAGGACTTAAATCAGCCATTATGTACATGACTTGAATTGGTGGAGCTTCTAAATGATTTCGTAGCTTAGATTCCTCTGAAGGATTTTCATCAACAATTAGAGTCTTTGGAATGCTGCCCTGCTCTCTGAATTTAAGAATATTTGTAATATTTTATTATTAAACCATTGAAAAGTTTGCAAAATTTTAACAACTTTTCCCATGTATGGTTGCTGTTGATTCATCTCTTACCTTTTAGAGCTAATTCATATAATTAAAACAGGGGTAGACAAATACAAGTACCCCATTTCTTTTACTTGGTGTCTGAATTTTCAAAACCAGAATTAAATGATTTTTATATATTAGCTCTTGATAAAAAGGGACTCCTGAATCAATTTTATTTTTTCTACCCCTGAAAATTATAAATATTTAAGTACCGGTGAATGATATATATGACAGGAGATTTTAATTTATAGGTGCATGTTGTTGTAACCACTCACTTTTCTCTAAGTTGTCTACCACCAATTCTTCTACAGCGAACTTGGGCCATTTTAATGGCAAGAGGACTAGGCTTTTCCATAAGATTTGTCATGCTATATACACCCTAGTATAAAAAATCCATTTGAAAATATTTGAGTATTATTTTCATTAAAAATACTGCTGAACACAGTTAAAACAAAATATCAAACGTACATATAATATACAGGTATATCTTACTTATAGTGCTTCATAAATATAAACATTAAAATGCAAAAAACAACAACTAATGAACAAAGATAATTATTAGAAAAATTACTCACTTCTTGTTGGTGAGAAAAGGGATCATGATCCACATAAGTAAATATCATATTCTTTTGTCGCCTTTTATTGCTGAAAATATCAATACGGTAACAAATATTATGAAAGAACAATTTTTCCCAAATTTCTGTTTATATTTTTGTGTAATCCCAATTTTGTTTAAAATTTAATTCAGTAAAAAAAGCAGAGAAAATACTCACATAAGAGATAGTACCTCTTGGTGATATTTCTGATCCAGCACATTCTTACAATTGTCTTTATTGCTGTAAAATTCAATTTCTCTCTGAAATTAATAGATGACAATATCATAATAAAATTCAGTTATTTATTAATTTTTTTAAATTGTAAAAAGTCAATTTTAACAAGAAAAATAAACTCATTTTTAAAATGCTCAAATAGGAATGTATAGTAATAATAAATTAGATATTTTAAACAAAATCATTTTATAGATATCACCTGACAAAATATCTTCTGTTGCCATCCAATGATACATTCTTCATGGTCAGGTGATTTTTTCTTCTTCTGTTTTCCAATGGTTGCTAGTTCTACACCACTTTCAGTGGTTGTGACTGGTTTGGCCCCTTCTTCAGCAAATGAAGCAGATACTTTCTTTAATGTTACCCTTAAAAATACAGAAATTGGCGATTAATGCTATTATAAACTTTAAGAATATAGATTTGTAAATTTTAGATTTGTTACAATATATGCTTCCTATACTGAATGATTGATTGACGTAAAAAAAAGCTAATAATGCTAAATGCTAAAAGACAAATAAAAATATAAGCCTTTCTTATTTATTTTATATCTATCTTTTCAGTTCAATTTGAACTTAAGTACTAACACCTTCACTCTGCAACTGTGTCTATTTCAGATTTACAGCTATAAAATATACTTTAGAGGCAATCAACTCAATATAAAGAATTTACCAAACACATAAAATATGTAATTAAGACTGACAAAATGTCCTCGAAGAAACTGCAATAATTTACCAACTATAAGTACTTGTAATTACTAATTTATTGGCTTAATTAGACAATCAAATATTTTTATTTGAACTTCTAGTGAAAATTATTTTTATTTTATAAGTTTCAGTCTAAATGATTGATCCTAAAAATATAGTGGAATAAAATAAATTCTCTGTTGAACAATCAAGATATCGGCTTTAACTTTAAGTAATGGGTGTATTTAGAATTTATTTTTAAGTTAATAATCAACTATAATTAAAATGTGGACTTGCAATTCTGACCAAAAAATTACTATACGCAATTCTCTGGTGTTCTCAGGTGACACCGAAGTGTCTGCTTTTGACTATTGTATACATTTACTTACTTTCTCATTGTTTTTATCATAAATTAAAATTCTGGATTTGTTAAATTATGATTTGTTTAAAATCGGGCGAATCTACAACTTCAGTATTAGTTATTATAGCGCATTATTAAAGAACAAAATCCAGTTGTTCTGGTTTGAAGTGCTTATCTTGTTGATCCAGAAGACACTGGTGTCCACGCACAGAATGTTCAAAACATATTTTCCTTTGCCTTCCTATTTGCAAGAGTTCATGTTCCACTACCATGTTCGTGGAGATATTTTTAAAAAACTTCATTGGAAAGGGGGGGGGGGGGGTATCTCAAACTCAAACTTTTTTTTTTTTATTATAGCGCATTATTAAAGAACAAAATCCAGTTGTTCTGGTTTGAAGTGCTTATCTTGTTGATCCAGAAGACACTGGTGTCCACGCACAGAATGTTCAAAACGTATTTTCCTTTGCCTTCCTATTTGCAAGAGTTCATGTTCCACTACCATGTTCGTGGAGATATTTTTAAAAAACTTCATTGGAAAGGGGGGGGGGGGAATCTCAAACTCAAACTCTTGTTTTTTTATACAATAATTCATTTAAATTTTAAGAATGTTTAAATTCTTTAATTTTTATATTTTAAAAATTGTGTCTGGAATTACTAATATATGAATATGTGCGGAAATGAATATGTACAATTTCATAAAAAACATTTCCATCTATTTGGATCAATAAAAGATATTTATCTTACCAATAAAACAATATTAATATCAATAGTAATAGCCGTTAAAAATGGCATAGCCCTTAAAATTTTAACAGAAAAGAACAACAGTATTTTTTCATAACCAACGCTGAAGTGATAGATTACCAAAATCAGTATCTGGTTACCACAAATCAACAACTTGGTTTTGGTTTCAGAACTGACAACCGGTTTTCATTCAAAATCCTCTTTTAAGAGCAGTAAAGCCTTAGAGAAATTTATTGACTGCCGGTAATATGAGCAATGAGTTAAAGTCAATGAGTTTGGATGCAAGAATGAACAAGTCTGACAAGTATTAAATAGTTATAAAATATTATATACACAAGAATATGCAGGATATTAATAGAGATATATTTAAAGTAGATATTAAAGGTGACAATGGTATTTTTTACTTGATTTTATTGTTTTTAATTGGATCATTTGACCGATAGTAAGCGGTTCCGCAATCTGGTTCAAAAAATCCAGCCATTTTGAAGGAAATGTAAACATTATAGTAGCGCACATAAGTTGACATAAGGCTTCATCAAGTAAGCCAGAGTAGAAAAACTCCTTTAAATAATTTTAAAAGAAAATTAATTGAACAACTCCTTTTAATTAAAATAAAATAAGTATTAAATTTTAAAATCCTAAATTAAAGGTTTAGATATTTTAAAAAGACAAAAATTAATTTAATTTTCTGAAAAATGTAAAAAAAATCTTTTTTTTTTACCGTAAACGTCAAAGATTTGATGTCTAATTTGAAACGTTTAATTGGCATACAAAGTTTGCATTTCAAAATATTTGAAAATTACGAAAATTATTTATTTATTTATTATTCTTATAAAATTTTGAATGCGTCTCAATTCAATAAATTTAATTTTATATTTTCTATTATTAATTTTTTTACAAGTAATTTAAATCTTTAAAATTAATATGTTATTTACTGCGAAACATATCTATCGCCAACTCCCCAAAACAACCGTTACATTGGTATATTTAAAAAACAACAACATGTAATTCTTTTTGGGAATAAAAAAAATCAGTGTGCATAAAAATGAGTAACCTTTGTTATTTATTATCATTTATAGACATCTTTTGATACACTGATTTTTTTCTAAAGTAATTTTAATTTTAAGGACTCAATCTTTTTTGCCACCCTTCTCCAAACCCTTTTCAAATATTCTAGTCAAAGTCAAAGGGTAGTTAGAATTTGACACACAAAGTACGATTTTCCTACTAACAAATGCAGAGCTTCTTAAATTGTTTAATAAATTTTAACTTTTCCCCTAGAAAGTAAAATGTCAATTTAAAAAAAAAATAAATTATTGTTATATTATTGAGCAATCTATTTCTGTAATATAATAAACGTACACCTTAAATAACATTCTTTAATTTTACTCTTAATCGTGGCGTCATTTCAGTTTTTTCAGGGAGCAAAAACAAAACTTGGTCGGCTTGTTATGTTGTTTATTACTGGAGGCGTCGCAGTAGAAAGCAATTTTAATAAAATCTGAAAGTTGGGGGGGGGGGGGGATGCCCCACCTTCCCTCCCCAAATGACGTCCAGGCTCTTGATTGAATTTATTTTTGTTCTATTTAAAAAAGTTCTCTTTTAATATTTAAAACCTTAAATAACATTCTTTAATTTTACTCTTAATCGTGGCGTTATTTCAGTTTTTTCAGGGAGCAAAAACAAAACTTGGTCGGGTTGTTATGTTGTTTATTACTGGAGGCGTCGCAGTAGAAAGCAATTTTAATAAAATCTGAAAGTTGGGGGGGGGGGGGATGCCCCACCTTCCCTACCCAAATGACGTCCATGCTCTTGATTGAATTTAATTTTGTGCTATTTAAAAAAGTGCTCTTTTAATATTTAAAAGGCAAAACACAATAATATTTCGCCCCCCTCCCCCGCATAAAAGTTTGCATATGGCTGATTTTTATTCTCGAGAAATAATTACTTGTCTTGTCTTTAAATTGTTATAATTGTAAAATGTTGTCTTGGTTGAAATATATATTTATTTATGTCCCGAAAAACGATATGCACAATGAAATTTAAAAAAAAATCAATTTATTCGAATCAATATAATAATATTATCTTGTAAAGAAAATGTGATTATAACATGCACATTTCAAATGTCTTCCTACCAAAAGCTAGATTTCCACAAAATATGTATGCGTTGGAAACTAACTGATTTATATATTTCCATGTTAACCAAGTATTTTATTTTTATTTAGTACCTTGGGTGACACCAAGTAGGCCTATATAGTGGTTTTTGCTGATAATTCATGCCTATTACAATCGAAATATGCTTCTTAAGGCTTCTAGATGTGATAGCTGATATCTTTATCTTTTCACATACTCTTCCGATATAATAATAATTTTTGACAAAGATGTTGTAACAGTATTTATTATTTAATTTTTTTGGGGGGGATTATACTTTGGTTTTTCAATCCATTTTTTCTGCGCATTTATAACTCTTGCCAGACTATTTTTGCAACCCCACAGTCTGAGCTGTTCGTCACAGTACGTTTGAAAGAATGATCTTTAAATATTGACATTTAATAAAGAGCATTTTCAAAACGAATGCCTTGTGAAATTATTAAAGAAGCAATCAAATTAAAATGTACATTTTTTTTAATATGGGTAATAATAAATTGAGTAAAATAATAATAGTTTTTTATTGTTGAACTTCATTTTTCTTAGTTATTTTTTGATAATTAGACTATAGAACCTCTAAGAAAAATTTGCAAATGGCTGATGTTTTCATTTGAAATGTCGAATAGACCTCCGAATGAAAGGTTAGTTAGTAATTCTTCCTTAAATTATTCATGTAATTACTATTTCATATGCTAGAAAATGAATTACTTTCGCGTTTATGATGGTCCAATGTGTGGTTTAAATTAAAAGCACGAATGCAATCATTTCTTAAACTGAGATAATCCATCCTCTGAGCCCTCTGTCAAGTCTTGTGTCTGTAGTCTGTATAGTCCGTGTCCTGTTCGGATTAGTTAAGAAGACACCACCATTGACAGTATCGATGCAAATTATTTATCACTCGTTACTAATTTTTGGTCTTTTATTGGGATTTTACAGTTACCTGGTACATAATTTTTAACTTTTAAATGGGTCATCTATCAATTCAGCGTTGGTTATGAAAAAAATCCTTAATAAATATTAATATTATTATTAGTGTTACCCATTAGTCAATTTCAATTAGTATTAGTTTAGTATTAGGTACTTAGACAGAAATTCTAATTATTGATGCATAAATAAATCGAAGTGTCTACACGTCCAGCGCGCCGGACAAATAGTGCGCAAGATATATGTCCGGCGGCATGTCATGTGACCGCCGGACGGCTAGTAGTTATTATTATTCTGAACGAAGTGCAGTTTGGTAGAGCTTGTGTGGTCTAGTGTAGAGTGGTCGCTTGACGTTATTATGATTTGTGGATCAATTCCGGGGAAAGGATCGTTTTTTTTTCTTCCCATTTTAATTAAAAATATTTTATACTATATTTTTATTATCATGTTCATCAGCAACAGTAGTTTCATGACAAGTTTTTAAATATTTTGTAACAATTTAAAATGAAATCTTTTACTTTTATTAGTTGCCTACTCCATACTGGCCCCTGCCCTAATTAATTTTATGGTTTACTGGTACACAAACTCAAATAACAAACAAAACAAAAATGTTTACAAGCCACTTTCACTTAAGTTTTTTTGCTATTATTTGCATTCAAGATACTCAGTACATTACTTGGTAGAGAAATAGATTTTATAATTAACAATAGTTTTGAATCATTCGCAGTCACGTGACAAGGCTGACCAACAAGATATCTCTCGCCACTTTGTTACGGCGGTCATGTGACTTGGTCGCTGGACAAATAGTGCGGGAGATATACGTCCGGCGCGCCGGACGTGTAGACACTGCCTAAATAAATGATACACCATTTTAAAGGGCTAGATATATAAACTATAATTTGGGGTTATTGTCTGGGGCTTTTGCAAAAATACAAATTTCATCTTTCTATCATTTATAGAAATGAAGTTATGAACTTTTTGTTTAATTTTTTTAACCCCCTTCTTGATCTTTGTATTTTACTGCAAAAACGTGTGACCAACTTTCCGAATTTCTGACTTATTTGCCCCAAAATGTTTTAATCAGTGATAATGCTATCAGATTTTCAGGAGACATTCTCAATCATTCAATGCAATATACAACACAATACACAACAAAACTTTTACATAAATCAAAACTTTGTATTTAAGATAATTTTATTTGAGTCTTTGTTAAGAAAAATGTTAACAGAATAATTGGAGAAAAAAAAATGTATAAAGGAAAAATTAAATTTTAAATCAATTATATATATAAGGTAAGTAGAAGTCTTTTTTAAATTAAAATTAAATGCATGAAATTATAAGTAAAAACCACACAAAATCACCCATAAGACTAATACAAGCATACCTGTATCGTTATGTGATTAAATTTCAAAAGGTAATGGGAATGTTCTGCCTGGGGAATGTTCTGCCTGTCATGTTCTACTTAAGCTGCTCTACAGACTAATTGGTCTTGTTGTTGAATCCCACTATCTCTCCTTCATAAACTTTGTATTAGCCATCTACATACAAATATGGCCCATCATTGTCAATCGATAGAAGGAATTCCAAAGAGTTCTTTTATAGATAATTAAAATTTTATCTTATATCTGATATAACCCTAACAACATCTAATCATATTTAATCCCAATCCTGAATCTACAAATTTTCTTCTTATTATTATTCAATTTTTGTCTTTATTTGTTATTTATTGAAACTTATTTAAATTTAAGAAAGTTTATTTCTTTTTTATTTTATAATGTAGATTTATTATTATTAGAAATTATCAGTATATTAAAAATTAGGCTTAATTAAAATTTAATACCTTATTAAATTTAAAAATAATAATTTAAATTTGGCCTGTAAGTGCAGTTGTAGTATTAGAATAGTATTAGTAGTATATTAGTATTCGTTTATTAAAATTAAACTTAGGGGCTTAGTTATAGATAAGAACTGGTACTTAAAACTTATGCTTAGTAGCTAAGCTTAGGCCTATAAATTATAGATGTATGTCTAGAAATAGTAGTTGGAGGCATACTTAAATTAAATTGTGTTTTGTACCTCTTATTATTATTATGATTATTATATGCCGCACAAAGTGTCAATGACCCGAGGTCACTCTCTTCCCTTAACTAAAACGTATTTTCTACAGTTACGCAGTGTGGTAAGAAAAATGTACAAATGAAGAAAAGCAGCACAAAATATCTTTAAAATAATGAAATCCCAACTTACAGTCAAATTCACTTTTACACACTTGTCAGAAAAATCAATACGTCACACAATAACCATTTTCCAAAATGCAGTGAAATTTGTATATTTTAATTAACCACCCAATGTAATTATAATTTAAAACATTCCATTAGCATACAGCATGTTAATATATAAAAAAAAGAAAAGTTAACTACAATAATAATCCAAGA